AGGGAGAGAGAGAGACACTGAGCACCAGGAAGGACCAGCGGCGTTTACAGACCTTATTTCAATGAGTCCTTTAGGAAAGAGAGAAGGGAGAACGAGAGGGAGACCTTTCTGTTCTCTGGCGTGTTCTGTTTCTCGTTTTTTGGAGTCATGTCTTACAAGAGTATTTATTATTCTATGTGTTCTGTGTTCAGATGTAATTTAAGAAAAAAAAGGAAGAAAAATGAAAAAAAAGACGCAATGGAATTTGATTTGATGCATGACTAATGTACTTTTTCTTGAAGATAATGTGCTACGTGGGAAGGGTGGGGGTGGGGACTGGGCCGTGGGGCCGGAGCCCCGGATTCTCTGTCGCATCTTGTGTTTCATGCCCCAGCGGGTGCTGTTCGGTGCTCCTTGTCGCTGCTCTGTTCCGTTCCCATTCCCAGGGATCTGTGTCCCGCCGCCGTCAGTGGGCGCAGGAGGAAGGCGACAGCCCTGGGGCCTGACCGCCCACACCCCAGTCTCCACCTCCCTGTGCCAGTGGGCGGGGACCCAGGCCTCCTGTTCCTGGTCTTTGGGCACGAGTGAGTGTCACTGCCACCTGGGCCCCCTGACCTGGTCGGCTTCACCTTAGCATGAATTCCCAAGTGTCTTGTTCAGAGGAGAGAGACAATCAGCCAATTCGAGTCTTGTCGCCCAGGGTCGGGGAGGGCGGGGTGTCCCCAGCTTCCCAAGATCTGAAGGGCCCTCCTAAGACACCCTCTTGGCAGGCACCTGCCCAGGCCCCACCCAGCCACCCCAGCCTCCTCCGCCCTGGCAGGGCCCAACTTCACCTTCCCGTCTGGCCCGGGAGGTGAGGGGTGCCTGTCTGTGGAGTCCTCCCTCCTAGCCCACGCTGGGACCTTAGGGAACAGAGGGGCCCCCAAAACACCATGAAAGGGGGCTCGGGGACAGTCTCCCAGCCTGTGACACCACTTCTGCCAGAGGCCCCACACTCCCACCAGGGTAGAGCCCACTTTCCAGGATGGGGGGCCAGATAGGGGGGACTAGGGTAGCCGAAGGTGGCCCCTCATACCCTGAGGGGCAGGAGGCCCCACTGGAGGGCTGGGCCTGGGGCGCAGGTCCAACCCACCAGAAATGAGGGTGGGGGAGGGACGTGTTCCATGGTCCCGCACTTGGGCCACTTCACAACTTGGACCACTTCACGGTCTATGCCCAAAGCAGTTCCAGCTCCCTGGGCTCGTCCTGAGGCCCAGGCAGACACCTGCTCCCAGGTCTTTGGGGGGATTCTCTCAGCCAAGAGGCCACGTGGCCCTGAGTGTGTGATCACAACTGGATACCAGGGCTGCTTTTAGAGGAGACACTATTTGGGTCATCCAAAGTCCTCCTTCGCAGCCCCCAGAGCTAGAGGGAACAGAGGCCCTCTCCACCCCACCCTCAGGCGACAGGCTTAAAAGTTAAAAAAAAACAAACCATCATCATTGTTAACCATTGCTATGCTGGATTTGTTTTGTTTTTCTCCAATAAATTATTTTCTAGTCACTCATCTGGGCTCGTGCATTGGCTGATGGGTGGGGGGAGGGGAGTTGGGGCTGGGAGTGGGGTGGGAGCCTGTGCAGGAGCAGGAGGCATGGTGCTAACCCCCCACAAAGGGGGCAGGGAAAGAGGATGTGGGCCTCTCCCACGAGGGCCTCCCGGAGCCCCCACCCCCACAGGAATCCACCCTCCACAGGGCCTTGGAGCCCCCCAGCTCGGACTCGGATCCTGTCTCTTTCTGGAGTCTAAAGTAGAAGGTGGTTTGAGCACAAGAAACCAGGGCAGCCTGGTGGAGGAAGAGGCTGGGCAGTGCCGGAAGTGGACCTCATAAACTGCCCCGGGAGCGGCCAGCAGGCAGCAGCCAGAAACCAGAGCTGGCAGGCAGAATCTGCTTAGCACCCTTCTCCCTTCTGAGAGCATGTTACTGAGCCCAGTGTGAAGAAAAATCTCAAGTAAAAACCCAGCTTTCCCTGCAAATCCCTCATCAGGCCACTAGAGGTCAGTGTTTTGATTTTTAAAACCAGGAAAGACTATCTGGTGAGGCATCACAAAAAGTACAGGAAAAGAGGGAGCCTTGAGGAGCCCTGGGGTCAGACGGACCCTGGTTTATTAGACAGAGAAAAGCGTGTGGAGTCCCGTCTTCGGGCGGAGGCCTCATGCTCGCTGGGTGACACTTGCTAGGCCTGGGCAGTCACTGCTCCTCCTCAGGCAAGGGTGGCTGTCCTGCTGGATCAGGTAGAACCTGGCTCCCCACCGGCCCTGGCAGCCCCTCCCTGGGTGACGGCTGCCTCTCCACCGGCGAGGGCTCCGCTTTCATCAGCTGCTCATTTGTGGATGATTCTCCCACGTTTGGTGGCAGCGTTTCCACCAGAGCAGTGAGGGTCGAGTTGGGAACTGGCACCGTCCCCTCCTGGGGGCGCCTGGGCTGCTCCTGCCAGCTGTGTGCCCGGGCCTTCCAGGACAGCTTCGGGAACTTTCAGGCGGATGTCTTCTCTGCAGGGGTATTGACTGGCTCTTCAAAGACGGCTGGCTGGAAGGCAGTGACTAGTTCTCAGCTGTCACCTGGCTCTCTCTGGGGGACAGTGGCTTCTCCTGAAGGGAAGGTGGCCTCTCCTTGGTTGGTGGCAGACTCTCAGGAGGAGAATGTGGCCACTGCTCATATGATAGTGACTCCTCCTGCCTCTTTAGCAACTTCTCCTGGAAAGACCCAGATTGGCGGTTCAGGGTGAGGGCCAAGCTTTCAGTGGGAGAGGACTGGTTCTCCTGAGAAAAGAGCTGTCCATCCACAGTCGCGGAAGAGCTCGTCTCAGAGGCAGGCTGCACCTCCGCGGAGGGCACCTGCCCCCAGTGCCGGTGCTTCTTCCTCCCCAGGAAAGACATCTTCCTGGGGTACCAGGGTGACTCCTTGGTGCTTGGGGACAGTTCATCAGATGGCATCGTGTGGTCAACCAGCATGTCGCTGTTGACTCCTGGTGACCTCCTCAGAATTGTGCCCTGCGTGATGAGGTCCGCGTAGCCCTCCCGGTGGGAGAAGGCATAGCTGGATCGCCGGGCCCGAGACTCCCGGTGAATGAAGGCCATGGGCTCCACGGTGATGATCTCCTCGCTTGGGGCCGCCTCCTCCTCCTCCTCCTCAGGGCAAAGGGGAGAGCGAGAGTCATCAGGCTTCCAAGCTACGTCCATCACTTTTAGGTCACCTGCCCCCCCACCCCCCCACCCCGTGCAGGCCATTCAGAGCCCTTGGCCACCAATCTCTGGCCAGGCTCTTTTCCTCCCAAGTCGACCCAACAGAGTCCACCCTGGGACCTGACTTTGCACCAGCCAATCAGAATCCTTCCCTGGGACTTAACTTTGCGCCAGTCACCAAGCACCTTGGGCACCTTCTGTTGGCAAAGCCAAGAGAGGAGAGCCTGGGGCAGCCCCATGTCCAACCTGTGTGCCTGAAGATGGCAGGTTGGTGGCCCTGTGCTAATCCACCACTCCAGTCACTTCTGGGGCCCATCCCAGCTGCAGCTCATCCTTCAAGGTTTTGGTTCCATGAACCACTAAGTCCCCTCTCCCAACTTTTTCCATTGTGGTAAAACACACGTAACATAAAGTGCACCATCTTAACCACTTTAAACTGCACAGCTCGGTGGCCTTAAGCACATTTACACTGTTGTGCAACCCTCCCCACCACCATCTCCAGAACTTTCTCATCTTCCCAAACTGAAACTTTGTCCCCATTAAACACTCACTCCCCCTCCCCTCCCCCAGCCACCACTGTCTACTTCCTGTCTCTATGGATTTGACTCCTCCAGGGACCTCCTGTGAGTGGAATCAGACAGTATTTGTCCTTCTGTGTCTGGTTCTCTCACTGAGTATCATGTCCTAAAGGTTCATCCACATGGTAGTGAGTATCAAAATTTCCCTCCTTTTTAAGGCTGAGTAATACTCCACTCTGTGTATGTACCACATTTTGTTCACCCATCACCCACCAATGAACACTGGGGTTACTCCTAAATTTCCTTTTTGTTGACACCGTTTCCAAGTCGCTCCTGTCACGGGGACCCCAAGCCCTAGTGACTTCACGGCAGGGTCCTGCCACATCAGCTCTGGCCCTTTGAGTGCTCCTGCTGCCTCCACCCCAGGAAGTGTGGCTTCCCCTCTGGGGTCCCGGGACCTGCCATTTGGTTCCCTGGGGGCACTGGGGGTGTGTCTGGGTCTCCATCCCTTGCACCCCAGGCCCAGAGTCTCCTTGGGGTCCCGCATGTGTGGTGGGGACCACTGTCCCTCACCTTGGGCCGCGGCTTCTTGAGGGCTTGGTAGATGACGCGGAAAGCTAGCACGGGCAGGGTGCTCAGTGACACATTCAGCAGGATCACCAGCAGGACGGGGGGCTGGGATAGCACGTTGAGGTCAGCGTCTGGTGACAGAGAAGGGTCATGGCCAGCTTGGGGTGGAGCCTCCTCAGAGCCTGCTCAGTGCCCCTCCCTCAACACTCCATCTCCCTCCCCTCCCTTCACCGTAGACACCTTGACGCAAATTCCCGAAAGACACGGACGCCCCCTCTATATGGCCACCCCCCCAACCTGCATGGCCACGGAGACCGAGGCTCAGAGAGGGGCAGAACGGGGCTCCGACTTAGGCCCCTCACCCCCTCCCCGCTGGGGGCTCACACTGAAACGGGAAGGTCTTGGGGGAGATTGTGAAGAGCCAGGAGCTCTGGGTGGCCCAGGTCATGACCGTGTAGAAGCAGAGGCTGAAGAAGATGGACAGCACGGACAGGACTGTCCAGTACTTGATGATGAGGATGACCTGAACATGGAGGGGCGTTAAGACGGGGGGGCACGAACCCGGAGTGGGGCTCATGGGGACGGGGCGGCCCAGCCCCCAGGGTCCAAGAAGGGGCAGGTCACCAGGCGGGGAGAACTCAGTGGCCGACGAGGCCCCGGGGGTCAGGCAGGCGGGCAGCCACACCCACCTCCGTGGTGATGGACACCAGCCCCGACAGGGCCACGACCACCGAAAAGGACTGGTAGTCGCTGAAGCTGACAGGCCCGGCCGAGTCACGGGTGACCCACAGGGTCACGAAGAAGTTGACGAGGGAGGTGGCCATGCCGTGGGTGATGGCTTGAAGGAAGACCCAGTAGTTGAAGAGCTCGTCCTTCTGACCCGCAGCGTACAGCTCGGGCAGCTCCAAGCTCTGCTCAGCGCTCACATCCTGGTGGCTCAGGGGCCAGGGAGGCCGGCTCTTGGGACCAAGTGGGGACAACCCCCACCCGACCTGGGTCCCCCCGGAGGAGGAGGTGGGGCAGAGACAGGAGCGTCTACAGGGAGGGAGGTGACAAGACCCACAGATGCTCACCTGCTCAAAGAGTCCAATGTAGAGAGCCGGGAGGGTGCTGTACAGCAGGTTGAAGAATGCCAGGAACCAGCCTTCATAGAGGGGCTGGGGGAGGGGGGAGGGAGAGCATAGTGAGCCTTCAGGGTCAAAGACCAGAAACAGAAGCGTCTTCCCCTGCAGAGAGCCACCCAAGCTAGCTCGGCACCTGGAGAGGATTCCTGGTGAGTCTGACAGTCAGGTCATAATCAGGGTTGGGGCTGAGACGGGGAATGCACTCAGCAGTAAGGACTGGAAGAGGGGGGAGGGTACAGCTCAAGTGGAAGAGTGCATGGTTAGCATGCACAAGGTCCTGGGTTCAATCCTCAGTACCTCCTCCAGGTAGAAATCAATGAATAAACCTAATTATCCCCCCCTCATAAAAAAAGGCTGGAAGAGAAAAGGCCCAGTCTCATTCTTTTATGAGAACCGCTCGTAGCACCAGAAGGTGAAGGTGTGTTCAGCGAAGAGCAGGCACATGTCAAAGGGACAGGTAAGGGACAATCTGCGCAACCCAGCATAGAATAAAATCGACACCCATAAGTCCATGCTGATAGGAATAAATGGCTGGACAATTAAGTGGGGGAGAAGGAACAGTTCTTCCTAAAGAAGAATTCCAACTGACAAATGTGAAAAGACTAGACGCCACCCACTCTAAGACCAGGGACTAGACGAGGATGCCTGCTTTCACCACGGCTAGTCAACCGCGCTGGAAGTCTTAGCCGGAGCAATTAGACAAGAGAAAGAAACAAAAAGCATCCGAACTGGAAAGGAAGAAGTAAAACTCTCTCTGTTTGCAGAGGACATGATCCTATATGCAGAAGGTCCCAAAGGAGTCACAGGAAAGCTACTTGAGCCAACAAACAAATTCAGCAAAGTGTCAGGGCCCAGATCAACGCACAGGAGACTGTGTTTCTCTACGCCAGCAATAAACACTCACGAAAGGGGACTTAGAAAACATTCCCACGTAGAGCAGCACCATGAGATACCCAGAAACAAAAAGCAAAGCAAAAACACACTGCTTCCGAAGGGTGCCACCAGGAGGCTCCCTCTCAGATGCCCGGGTGTCAGCGGCCGGGGCGCATCCCCTCACGGCAGCCTGTCTTCAGGCTTCCTTCCACGCAGGGGACCCACGCCCCGCAGCTCCTCCACGTTCCGGAGAGCACCTCCGGCGTTCACCACGGCACCGTCAAGCCTCTTGAAGGCAGGGACCCAGCCCCTACAGTCTCTTCTTCTCTGGGGTTCAAACCCTCTCATTCTCTCCCCTTGAAGGATGTACATACATTCGGAGCACCTGTCCTGCCCTTGCCTCAAAGCTCAACTTTGCCAAATAGCCCTGAAAATGCTTAGCACAGAGCTTGGCAGGAACCGGCCTCTCCCTTTGTCTGGAATCTGTACTTGTAGGAATGCAGCCAAACAAGAGGCTGAGCTACCCTGTGACTTCAGGCAAGCTCGGTGCGCCCCCCGCCCCCCCCCGCCCCGTGAGGCCCCCAGGGGGTGAGTGTGCCTGCTGCCGTCCTGGAGGCTACGGGAGGGGAACAGCACCCCCAGAGGGGAGCGCCCTCCTGCACACCTGGGCGGTAAAGCCGCTGTAGAAGGCGAACCAGATCTGGGCCATCGTGCTGGCCAGCGTCTTGTAGATGAAGTAGCGCAGGAACTTGCAGACGCGCATGTAGGACCAGCGTCCGTGCACCAGCAGCAGCCGCTTCAGGAAGCAGAACTGCGCCAGCATGTAGTCGCTGTTCTGCACCGCCTGCATGCCCTCCTGCCCCGCCAGCCCCACGCCGATGTCCGCAGCTGCGGGGGAACACCAGCCTGTCAGCCCCGGGCCCCCGACTCACCGCCCCTACCTGCTCCCGGCCGCGGGCCTCACCCCCCGTCCCTGCTGCCCACCACCCACTCTTGATCATGTTCACGTCGTTGGCGCCGTCCCCGATGGCCAGGGTCACCACATTCTGGTATTTCTTGACCAGCGCCACAATCAAGGCCTTCTGCTTGGGCGTCACCCGGCAGCAGATGACTGCCTGACACTGAGAGGCCAGCTCCACGAAAGCCTGCTCCCGCCGCACCTCGGGGCTCTCGTGGCTATTGGAGTCTTTGTCTTCCGACGCCAGCCCAGGGGTCTTCCGCTGGATCCCGAGCGTCCGCCACAGCAGGGACAGGCGCCTGGCCTGCAGGAAGTCCATCCTCCCCTCGCCGAGCTCCTGCCAGGACTCCTCTGTGTCCAAGGTCACCTTCTGGACCAGGGCCCGGGGCTCCTTGCGCAGGGACAGCAGCAGCTGATCCTGGCCCGCAGGGGATGGGGGCACGTCACTCTGCTGCACCCCTCCCCTCAGTGAACACTGCCCCGGACCCTCCTCCCGGGCTGGACTTGACCCCACCCCCTCAACTCTTGGTGTGGCAAGTGAGACCTTTCCCCTCTGCTTGTCCGACAGCGCTTCTAGGGGCCCCAGCCCCAGCCCACAGCTCCTCCCGGCCTCTTCCCCGGTGCCAGGGCCCCGCCGTCTGCCAGGAGCTGACACTGACCAGGAACTCCCCGTTAATGACCAAGGCCATCTTGACCTGCGGCAGGAGCTGGCTCCTCCGATGGTCCTTCTTGTCACCCTTCAGGTTGTTGTTGCTCTCCCAGTAGACCTCCAGGATCCGCCTGCAGGGGCCCGGCCGGGGCTCAGCCACGCCGGCCACACAGGCTTCCTTCCACCCACTCCCCAGCTGGCCTTGGTTTCCCGCTCTGGGAGTCCAGCCAGGCAGAGACCCCAGGGCCACGCAGGGGCAGTGGTTGCCCCGCCCCCACCGACCCCCCCAACTCAGGCACATCTGCCTAACCCCCACTTCTTACATTATCTCCTTCTCTTCCAGAATGATCATGTTCTCTGAGAGCAGCTGGCAAGCAAAGCCGATGTTCACCGCTGTCTCTGCAAACCAGCACACTCAGCCCCTCCACAGCGCCTGCCTGGGGGCCACGCCCACCCTGCCCATCACAGCACCGTGCCCCTCCCCCTAGCCACAGCGACTGGTTCCAAGGCGGGCATGTGGCAAGGTCAGCCAGTAAGAGCCAGCTCGCCAGCTCTGTGACTTTGGTCGCAGCTCGGGGCACAGGGAGCCCTGATGGCCTGTCTGAGGGAGATGAGTCCAGGGCGAGGGCCAAAGGACCATCACATCATGCCTAGGGCCCCAGGGCACTCTGAGGAACTCAGAAAAATGACTAAATTTCTTTAAAAAAAAAAAAGAAGAGGAAAAAACTGAACCTAAGAACCCAGCCCGGATATTGGTCTTTATACCAGTATTGCTGTAAACATTTGGTGTGTACATGCCTCCTGCCCACAGAAGTCCTAAGGCAGCCATGCTTGTGCCCATGCCCCAGGTCCTAGGGTAGCCTCAAGGGGTGGGGGAGTCAGGGTTCCTGAGATTCCAGGCTATCTTGGGCCCTCAGTGGCTGGGCAACCTTCGTAGGTGCCCGGGCAACCTTCGTAGGTGCCCGAGCTCTCTCAGCACTATGGGCCACCATCACACAAGGGTGATGAGGGCTGCACCTCTCGGTGGTGCTTAGAACAGCCCCAGCCCAACCGAGTGAGGTGCCCAGGGGACCCCAGCATTTTCTGTTGCTCCCAGTCCTCTCTTCCCAGGAACAAGGTGGAAGGCAATGCTGAAGCCAGACAAGGGGAATGGGCTGGCGATGGCGCCTGGGCAGGGACGAGCTCTCCTGCCCGCGTCCCTTCTCCTGGTGCTGGGGCAGCCGCTCCGGGACCCACCTTGCTTGTCCCCTGTGAGTACCCACACTTTGATGTTCCCCTGCTTGAGAGAACGGATGGTGTCGCAGACACCGTCCTGGAGCCTGTCCTCGATGGCCGTGGCTCCCAGCAGCTAGGGGAACAGGGACAGACTGAGCAGGGACCTGGCTCCCTGGCAGGGCCAGGGAGCTGGAGCCGGGTGATGGCACCCCTCCCCCCGGTGCACCACCCACCTGGAGGTTCTGCTCCATCTCCTCATACACCTGGTGCAGGGCATGGGCCCGGTTCTGCAGCAGGATGCTGGCCTCCTGGTGCCGCTGGTGCCACGCCTCATACACGTCCTTGTCCACCTCCTTGTAGGCCAGGCACAGCGTCCGCAGGGTCTGCTCAGCAAAGGACTGGGCACCAGGCAGGCAGGGGGGCGCCGGCACCCTCTCAGCACCACCGGACTCCCTGGGCACCCCTCGGCCCCTCTCCCTCTGCCTGCGCTCTCCCAGCCTGCCCCCACCCACAGTCCGTCCTCCCCAGAGAGGGCGGGGATCACGGGCACTCTGCGCACACCTGCTCTGCCTCAGCCCCCAGATGCTCTGCTCTGTTTTGCCTCCAGACCTTGCCTCTGCTATGCCCCCTGCCAGAAACACCCTCCCTACACTTTGGGTGGTAGATGCTAACGATTCCTCAAGACCCTGGGTGCAGCCCTGCCGGACCCCTCCCCAGTCAGGGCTCCCCCAGCCCTGGACCCCTCCTTCTGGCCCCTCAGCTCAAAAACTTCTGCACCCCACACTGTGCCTCATTTTTCAAGGGTCTGAGTAAGGCCTCTGGGGTTGGGGGACAGGAAAGATCCGGTGAGACTATGTCTCCAGACCCCAGGGAGGACCCAGGGGTGCCCTGGGGGCCGGATGGCCCTGAGAAAAGTACCCATCATGGCTCCTTACATCCGCTCACCCCCCAGCCCTGCCCCAACAAGTGGCCCCCGGTCTCGATTCCATTCCTGACTGGAGTGGACTTGAGAGGTTGAGCTTGGACGTGACAGGGGCGCCCTGGTCATCAGGAGCTCCCGACAGGCCTTTGCAACTCTTGTGCCTCAGTTTACTTGTCCATTACATAAGCCATCCTGCCAGGCTCCTGGGCTCCAGGTCATCATTCTGACTGCACCTCCTCTGTTCTGGGTCCGAAACCAGACGCCAGCCCCCTACTCCTCTCTTCCCACAGAGCAGGACACTCTGGGAAGCTCCAAGTGGACGGACACAGGAGAGTCTTTCCACAAACATCCCCTGAGGTGCTGGGGGACACTGGGGACCCACAGGGTCAGGGCTCGGCTGGCATGACAGGACAGCCCCATGTTAGGATCAGGGCAGGAACAGCTCCCTGGCGGTGGGGATCTATGGCTGAACCTTGAGGACCAAAGGATCCTGAGCTCCAGAGTGGAGGAAGGCATCACAAGCAGAGGAGATAGCATGTGCAAAGGTCCTGAGGCAACACCTGAGCATGGAGGAAACTGAAAGCTAGAAACAGGGGTTTCGGGGAACCTAACCAGGGCAAGGAGAGACCAAGCTAGAGAGGTCAACAGGAGACAGAAAGACACAGCCTGGGAAGTTGGACCAAGGCATCTGGGCTTCACCCTGGGAAATGAAAATTTTAGGGCAGAGAGGGCTGAGCAGGTCCTGGAACCTTGGCCTGATTGGGAGGAGGGGTAGCATCCAGGGCAGAAGTTCAACCACAGGATGTTCTTGTGTGACTCAGAAAAAGAATGTCCCCTCTGGGCAGGGGTGGTGTGTGTGTGTGTGTGTGTGTGTATGTTGGGCAGAACAGTGCACAACCTGACCAACTGTACATGGCCACCTTGGGTACTTGAGCCGATTTCTCTGCACACTGGCCTCCCCTGCCCTTCTCCTGTGCCCTTGACCCTGCCCCTCCACCCTCCCTTCCCACAGAGACTCACGGCCAAGGCCTTCTCTGTGGTCCACTCTGTCATGCCTTTCTTGCCCAGGCGTTCATAGATGACTGTGTCGGCACCTTTGGTGTAGAGGTGGATGGAGCCTTCGGGGGTGCGGACTGCAGAGGAACAGGCCTGGCTACCCACACATGCTCCCCTGCCCACCTGCCCCACCCCAACCCGGGGCTGCAGGCGCTCACCCAGCACTGACATCCGCTTGCGCACGCTGTTGAAGTCCATCATGGCCAGGACCTGGTACACCCGCACCTCTCCCAGCTCCATCACAGTGATACTGTCCTGTGTGCGTGCCAGGAAAACGTAGCCAAAGTTTCGGGCCGCAGTGACCAGTGCCTCCTCGTCCGGGGAAGCTGCCTGGTACAACAGCTGGTCTGGCCGGGAGGGGACAAGGGTGGAGGAGGGGGCGGGGTCTGAGAGCCTGCCCTTGTCGGGGATCCGCCACCCACTTGCAGAAGGGCCGGCTTCCATCTCCTTAGCACAGGGAAGGGACACAGTAGGTGCCCACAGGTATTTGCACAGTTATGGTCAGTCTCTTGGGGCCGCACAACCTCTAAGTCTAATAAAGGAAGGTGGGCATTTGGGTCTCAGTCTGCATGACTTCCCCCTCCTGGTGTGATGACAGGTCTGGATGGCCTCTGTGTCTGGAAGAGGCTGGGGCTTGGGACCTGGGCCTGAGTACCCTCTGAACGGGATGAGAGTAGCCCTGGGAGCTGGGCGGGACAACCTCTAAGGCCTGGCAAGCGTCTCTAGAGCCCAGGGCCCGAGCACCCTCTAAGCAGGCTCACTGTTCTTCTCCTGCACCATCACCGTGTGGCAAATGGCCAGCAGGCGCCAGAACTCGCGCACCCTCTGGTCCTCATTGGCCTGCACGGCCTGCAGGAGCTCGGCGTTGCGGAAGAGAAACTTCCTGTCAGCAAACTTGTTCCAGAGGTAGGGGTCCTCCTGGGGGGCGGTGGGGGGACAGGCCAGCTTTGAGTGGGTCACTGTCCTCCCCCTCGACCATCCAGTGCTCCAGGGCAGCCAGGGCTCACCTTGCATGGGGCCTCCTTCTCCGGGCCTAGGGAAAGACCCTGTTTCAGGCGTCAGATCCCAGGACTCACTGGGGGCCCCACAGCCCACACCTCCGCAACCCAGGTCAGGCCTCCTGGGGCCACCGGATGCAGCGGGACCAGCGGGCCTGGGCCCCAGCCCCCAGCCCCAGCTTCACTTTCTGCTCAGAGGAGGAATAAGAGGCAGACGTGTCCCTGTGGACACGGGAGGGTGGCCCGGAGTGGGGCTCAGCCCCGTGGAACATGTTGGTTGCATCTCCTCATGGTCTTTTAAAATCTGGACTCAGCCACCTGCTTTGAAATACTATGTGACTTCACATAAAAACCGGGCTCCAGAGCCCTTCTGTACACATCAGAGGACCTGGCTGGGGGCTGGTGCCGCTCAACACAGACCCCACTGCCCCCCATCACCCCGAGGCCAGGCCTGCCTCTCACACTGGTGGCTGCCCACCACGCCCAGTTACTACTCAGCTGGGTCCTCTGGCGTCTCCTCATCTAGACCACGTCCACTAGTGATAAACTAGGCCAGGGGCTGGCGCACTGCATTCTCAACAAAGACTGGGCGGCCTGAGCGGCTAGAGATTCTGACTTGTGGGTCCTTTATAGGAGGAGTTTGCCGATCCCCAAATGAGAGGATGCTGTTTGGGGACAGTTCTGTGGCACAAATCTGGGTGGGATTCTGGGGGTGGGGTCGCGTGCTCGGCAGGCCAGAGGACGTCAGTGAGGCCCACTGAGGTCCCAGGGCAGTCGCGGCGGC